TGCTCTCAGGGTGCCAAATGCTCCCTGAGATGATGGGTAAGGCAAGGGCAGAGCGCTTTTCATTGGGCTTGAAATGTGTGACTTTGGGGACTTCACAAGGGTAGTTTTGATGGAGTGGTGGGCAGATCTGATTGGAATGGGCAGATGAATGAATGGGAGTTTGTAAGGAAGAGCGGATAATGAGTAGAGACTCTTGATAATCCCTGTATGTCCATGAAGGGAGTGGGGCCCTGGAAGGGAGTGTAGGGTGTTTTAGTCAGAGTTCTCCAGAGAAACAGAACTGATAGGACACACACACACACACACACATACATACACACACACACACACACACACACACACATACACACATGCGCGCGCGCGAAGGAATTTACAGATTTACTAGGGGAATTGGCTTATTTGATTATGGAACCTGAGAAGGCCCATGATAGGTCATCTGCAAACTCTTCAGCCAGAGAAACTGGTAGCATGGCTCAGTCCAAGTCTGAAGGCCTCAGAACCAAGGAAGTTGATGGTGTAACTCTCAGTCTAAGACAAAGAGCCCGAGAACCTAGGGACCACTGGTGTGAGTCCTGGAGTCTAAAGGCTGGAGAACATGGAATTTTGGCATCCAAGGGCAGGAGAAGAAGAGTGGTCGGTCAGGCTCTGGGATAGAGAGGATGAGAATTTGCCCTTCTTCCAAACCTTTTTGTTCTATTTGGACCCTCAGTTGATTGTATGGTGCCTGGCCACATTGAGGGCAGTCTTTCCCACTCGGTCCACTGAGTCACATGCCAGTCTCCTCTGGCAATATCCTCACAGACACACCTGGGGCAGATCAACATTCTAATCAAATGCCAAATCACCTGGGTTTCCCCAGCCTAGTAGATAAGGGCTGGGCCGGTGACTACTGAAGCATTGAGAATAATCAGTGCTTTACCAGCTATCTGGTTCCCTTAATCTAATCAAGTCGTCACCCCAAATCAACCATCACATGGGGTTAAGGGAAGCACAGGAGTTTGACTTGTTAAGATTTAGATAGGATATAATATTAAGATGAACCATATGAAATCGGGGATACTTGACTATCTCAGTGAAATATAAAAGACCTATAAGAATGACAATTTCATATAGTTTGATCTAATAGAACATGTTATACCATGGAGACTGGGTTGCCTTTGGAAGGGGAGTTTGATGGAGCAATAATGAGAGAGCTTAACCAAAAAAGTAAAGAACAAAGCCTTTGAACAGTTGACAGAGATGGTTGATTTGGGGGTGACAACTTGATTAGATTAAGGGAACCAGATAGCTGGTAAAGCATTGATTATTCTCAATGCTTCATAGGCAGCAGCCCAGCCCTTATCTCCCCAGCCTTTTGAGGCGGGGAGATGGAAGGCCTTTTCCAATTGTAACAGGAAGGAAGTAGATGTGCATTCAACCATGCTTAAGTGATCATGGTGAGTCCAATTCTCAGCAGCTAGTGTCCTACTGTAGGCAAATAATTATGTAATAAGTTTACAGATTTAGCTGTAAATACACATTGATTGATTTTGTTCATAGGACTTGAGTGGATGCTGATCCTCTTCTACCTTGTAGTAGATTCTAAATTTGTTCTCTCAAAAGTCTGATAGCCGTGATTTTTTTTTCTGTTTTTTTTCTTTCACTAAAAGTAGAGTAAATCAGATATCGTGATCTCTGTCCCCCCCTCCTCAACAGTGCAACACTATGGCCTCCCTGTAGAACTGATTAGCAAATCAAAGAATAAAGTGGTTTTCTCACAAGCGATTTTCTTGCCCTACAGAAAATTGTCTTTTTCAATATTACTATCAGTATTCTTTGACTCGTCAGCATAATTGAAGCATTATCTGTGATTTCTGTTTCTTTAATGCAGGCTACAAGTGCATCCTTTTAAAGTCATACCACTCTTCTCTGGCATGTGTATAGAATTTGCTTATGAGGTGTGTATATTTCAAGAAGTTCAGCTGTTTGGGGGGAGTCTTTATTTCACTGCATAATACAATGTAAATGAATGACATTTTTTAGATGATTACATGGACATATCCCTAGTCCACAGTTTTCTCCATGTACTTATTAATTAGTACAATATTCCAGGTAGATCATTAATTGTATCTTTAAAGGTACAATGAAATTGAAAGTCATCTTTAATGCGTATAGGATCCTTTTTCATGCAGTGTCTCCTGTAATGCTTATTTTAAATAATACTCTTATCCATGGATTTTGGAACCAAGGCCATAGTAAAAATATTCTTGAGAGGAGTCTTTCTCTTACTCTGTTGTACAGCTTTGCTGTGTACATGGCTTTAAAATGGTATATTCCTCAAAGTACAGATCTTATTCATGGATTTTGGGACCAAGTAAAAATATTCCCAGAAGCAGTTTATTCTTACTCAGTTGTTCTTGTTGACTGTAGACAGTTTTGCTGCATACATGACTTTAAAATGATCTTTTCCTGAAAGTACAGAAGGATCTGGAGAAATGTGGGCACCCGTATTAAGCTTGTACTTTTGTAGTACCATAAGTATAAGATAAAACATGTCATCTTTAAAAGTTCTGAGGTGATGACATTTTACACTAAGTTAAGGTTTTATTTTATGGAGGTGTGTAAATGAATCAACATCATCTAATTCTGCTTGGAACAAGAAGAACTTGATATACTGTTACCTTCTATGATAGAAATTGCATCACTGAAGAAGTATATTTCTATCAGTATTGGAAGTACCATTGGAATCTATCAGAAGTGATTTGAAAAAGCCACAGTCTGTTGTTGTGATAATAAGCAAAGAAAAGTGATTCCCTTATTTCAGACAGCTTTTATATCTATTTAGGTGCATATATACAGATTAATCAGCTTTGTACCTGACTCTCAAACATTTTTAGTTTCTTTGGGTTGAGCTTCAGGTGATATCAGGCAATCTTTGGTTTTTCCATGGAGAGCCACTCATAACCAACAGCGATGTGTGCTTGCCAAGAAGGGTGTATAGGATGATACTGCTCAACAGCTTTGCTAATGTTTAATCTATATGGCTCAACTAGCATTTCTGTGTGAGTCCTCAACTAGTGTTGTAGTGATCTCCTAAATTTCCTTTGCTTTGCCCTTTTTGTTTGTAATCTGATGTGTATTTTGTCTCTTGCTGTGAAGTGGGGCTTGTCTTGCAGGGTGAGATCTGTGTTAAATCTGTGTAATAAAACCTCAGTTTTCTGTCTCTGTATATGCTAATAACAGTCTTCAGAGTTCTGCCATGTGGTGACATACCACCCCACCTCATCCTAGAGGTGACAATTGCCTGGAAGGACTATAGTGTTGATGTGTAGGGGGCTGTTTCTGTCACATGTATCTAAGTACAGACACCTTTGAGATGCTCTAAGCAGAGAGCATTTTTCAGACCTGTGGAGGTACATGACTGTCTTGTTCTTCTTGCCTATCCAGCATCAGGGTTTTGGATATTTAGCCTTGGTGTTGTGTGTGCCCCCCACCACTCCAAGATAATTTGCTGCTAATTTTGGCTATTTTTTTTTCTTATTCCAAAATTTATTGCATTCTTTCTTCAGATTTCCATCAATTCTGGCATAGTTTGCTCAATGATTGGTGTACTCCTGGTAGATTTTAATCTCTTGACTTCTCCGCTTCTCGTTAAACTGACCAATAACCTGTGACCAATAACCCTTACAACTCTTATGCCCCCTCATTATAAAATCAACAAATATTCATAACAGGCTATAAAAGACTATAAATATCCATACTTGTTTTTAACCTTCTTGTCATATGACCATCCGTATATTTTTCCCAAAAAAGTGTATCATGTCATACATACAATTTTAATCTGTCTTTTCTCTATTTTATCTCCTAGAAATACCTTTCCTTACATTTCTATTTTTTAAAAAATTATATTTCTAAATTTTCAGTAGCTGAAGATCATTTCATGATATAAATCGATCATTTGACCAGTCTCCTACTTTTGGACAGCCAGTTATTTCCACTCTCTTTTCTCTTTTCCTTCCTTCCTTTCTGTTATTTCTAGTTAATGAGATTCAGAGTTGTTTACCATGCATTTATAGTTATTTTTTTAAAAAGCCTAATGTGAACTTTTTGGGGCATAGGGATAGGCTGTTGCTAGTTATAAAGTCACCTTTATGTCAAAAACAGGGACTCACATCTCATGCATATCTGTCTTCCCAACATATAGCTTTATGCCTGACACAGTGAGCATTCACTAAAGAATTATTGATGACTTACAGAAGTATGAGTGCCGTTGGACAAATATTTGAGTACCTATTATGTATTTGGAACCTAGGTTATATAGGTAAACAAAATAAAGATTGTCCGTGCCCTCACAATCTGAGGTATTATTCTGTATAACAAGGTTTATGTTATAGAGATGGCAAGTCTCTTAATATGAGGATCAATGAAAAAAATAGCACAGACACACATCATAGTAAAAGACAGAGTAATTTACATTGTGGTTACTTAGGGGATGTTCATGCTTGTGATTAATTAAGAACTGATTAATTTTTCCATAGTTGATATTTCATTTTTGGAGTTATCCACAGTGTTAATGGATTGAGATGGAATGGTCTTTTTCAGTTTCAGATTTTTTGATCCTTGTGAGTAACTTCAATCAATTAAAGTTAAATTTAAAATTTCATTACTTGGATATAATTTACTGTTGTTATGCTTGTGATTCCAGGGACTCAAAGATATTCTGGGATTGAATATGGATATGGGGGGAATGGGATTGTATTCCAAAATATTTTTGGTCTTTTTGTTGCACATGTTAAAATATAATTAAACAAGGATTGCAGCCGTGGAAATTTTCTGCTGTAAATTGGTGTTTCAACTCTGCCAGCTGTTCATGCTTTCTGCGATCCCACTTATAAAAGTAGAAAGTAAAGGGTGAGTGGTTGCCCTCAGAGGCAGCCACATAATTTAAAAAAAAAAATGTGTATGCCTCAGCATAGCTATATTAGTGTTTCATATAACTGCCTTTTTCTTTTTTATTGTAGGGCCAGCTCTCAATGTTGCAAGAAAAAATAGACCATTTGGAGCGTTTGCTAGCTGAGAATAATGAGATCATCTCAAATATTAGGGACTCGGTCATCAATTTGAGTGAGTCTGTGGAGGATGGTCCGAAAAGTTCACAAGGCAATTTCAGCCAAGGTGCTGGCTCACATATTCTGCCGTCACAATTATCCCTCTCAGTTGACCCCGCAGACTGTCTATTTGCTTCACAAAGTGGAAGTCAGCATTCAGATGTGCAGGTAATGTATATATTCATTAATAATCACCAGGCTTTTTCTTTTTTTTAAATATTTGTTCTGATGTCTATTCTAACTTGGTTAGTTCCTTAAACTCTCTGGATTCCAGTTTCTCTTTTTGTAAAGTCCTTGTCTTACTTACATGAAGATAATGTTCTTTTTAGTGATAAAATTCCATAATTCTGTGTTTCTCTCTATTTTTCTTTCTATTTTGTACCTATGCAAATATGGCCTTTTTATATGTTTCTCAGATCTTTTTTTCTTTAATGGTTGAATACCTTTAGAGGTTTACATTTTGCCAAAGAGATTTTCTTACCTTCTTTTGGAGAATATGAGAAAGCCCTTCTCTTATTGTATGTTATACACTATAGACTTTATACAATATAGGGTTAGACTTTTTTTTGCTGAATATTCTTTTGCAAGGGGGAAGGGAAATATTCTAGAACTGTACTTTTCCAGTAGGGGAACCAGTGTCCACGTGTGGCTGCTAAACACTTGAAGTATGACTAATTTGACTTGAGATGTGCCACACAAGGTGTTTCAGACTTAATATACAAAATATCTTAATACACTTTTACATTGATTACATGCTGAGGTAGTATTTTGGATATATTGGGTTAATGAACTAACATTAAGATTAATTTCACCTGCTTCATTTTACTAGAAAATTAAAAATTATGTATTTGTCTTGTGTTATATTTCTCCTGAACCAGCACTGTTCTAGGGGGTAATGGAGTTGAAAACCAGGGTCAGAAAGAACTTCTGCCTTTCTTAAACTCAGGGTGTTTCACTCATATTGACTCTGCACATTAGGGGAGGGAGGGCTGTGATGAACCTTGTGCCTTAGATCAGAAACTGGATCTTGGTGGGAGGATCCTAAGGGGTTAACATTCTAAAGTTGGACAAAATTAGTTGGCTTCTGGCCTTACTTTAGAGTAGGCCTTTTCCACTAACCCCTGAGGGCAGGGAATATGATATGATCTTGGGGCCATGGTTCACAGGCCAAGCTGGGAGCTGGGGACAGTGGAGCTGGCCAGGTTTTGTACCTGCAACCTTATCAGCTAGTGTGTGGTCAGATTCTGATAGGATCAGAAGACTGTCCCAGGTTTATAGGGATAACTGTTTCTGGGAGGCTTGGCTTTATCTATGTTTTTATTAAGTTATTCCTAAGTACCTGGCCTTGTCATCCATGCTAAGGAAACAGCAAAAAATATCTTTAAAATTTTTTGTTTTGTGATCTAAATCTGGGCTGTAGAGAGGAATGGCAGAGCAAGGCAGGAGGGTACTGGGGGAGCTGCAGGGCCGAAGGAGGAAGCAGAAGGAGTAGCAGAGACTGTTAACACATCCTCCTGCTTAGCTGGTTCATGAGGATTTGTGGACTGATTGTATTTTATTTATTAAAGCCATAAATTCCATAGGGAGAGATATGTTATTGCCTTAAAATGCTTTTTGTATTGACTTTTGTATAATTTGTTTGGTATTTAAACATTTTTTTGTAACTCATGTTAGGATGTAATTTCTCAGCCTAATTAATTTTAGCATAATTTAAATTTTACAGAAGTTTGGTTGTCTTCTTTGCCACATTTAGTTTAATAGAGTCTATGAAGAATAAAAGTAAAATTTCAGGTATTTTTTGGTAATTTTTTTCCCTTTGTATCCAAATAGATTATTAGCTAGAAGGAATACTGCATTGAACAGCTAGAAAACATTTGGATACGTAAAAGCTGAATCTCAATATTAGAAATTTCCTTCCTTTTTAGATGATTATGCCTAGTTGACCCTGTTGTAGTTTTATTTTTAGAATAAAATTGGTAAATGTAACATATGAGGGGCGACCCCCTCAAAAACGGAATTTTTTTAAATAAAAAATTATGTATTTGTCCTTAAATGTTTAAACTTCAGCCACCTTCAAAGTACTCTCCGTTTGATGCAATATACCTATTGAGACGCTTTTTTCACTGCTCAAAACAGTTTTTGAACTCATCCGTTTTGACGTTTTTTTCCCACCTCTTCCACACTGGCAAAACAAGCCCTCCTTTTGAGGACTTCTTTCATCTCAGGAAACAAAAAGTTGCTTGGGGTGAGACTGGGAGAATAGGGAGAGTTGGGCATGGGGGTCATGCCCGTTTTTTTATAAAAAACTGCTGAACATTCAGCATGGTGTGGATAGATATGTCATCATGGTGGAAGAACCGTCACCTGTTTGTCACAATTTGGGACATTTCTTCTGCAGATTGTCTCTCACAACAATGCTAGCTAGTACACTAATGTCGATGGGTTCCTAGAACACTTACCTAGTAGGGGAAACCTGTGCTAGAAGCCACCCACTCTCCAAGAAGATATTTCCGGTTTTTTGGGGGTCTCCTCTTGAGTGATGTGTGGAAGAATTAGCTACAGATGCATGTTCATTCAGGTAGAGATTTTTAAAATAGAGATTGATCATAAAGTACAAGCAACCCAAATAAAGTAAAAAAGCATTTTCAGTACTGTATTAAAAATGCAGAAGTAGTTGGACAAAATCAAATTTCATCAGAAATTTTTTTATTGGTGCTTTTTCTATAAATCTTGATTGAACTGATTCGCAAATATAGGAAGGTGGCATTGGTCGAATGACCTTTTTTTTCCTAATTAGAAGCATATGAGAGAGGGGATTATTTATCAGGGTAGTTATGTAGTACAAGTAGCATTTTAAGCCTTTGAGTGGTGATTAAATGCTTCTGCCTTAAACTCTTCAATTAATGTCTGCAGAAATAGTTTTATTTTATAAAACTTTTATGTAGAGTATAGCGATGAGTAATTTTGAGAAAATGTTTACCATTAAATTTAAGTTAACAATAGTTAAACTTTAATTTTTTTCTTTTATATTTTTAGATGTTGGATGTTTACAGTCTAATTTCTTTTGACAATCCAGATGGTGGAGTTTGGAAGCAAGGATTTGACATTAAGTATGAAACTAATGAATGGGACACTGAACCCCTTCGAGTCTTTGTGGTGCCTCATTCCCATAACGACCCAGGTAAAATTTGCACTTCAGAAAACCAGAGGTTATTAAACTCCTTTAGATCCAGATACTTTTTAGTAAAAATCCAATAGAGTCCACTTCTCAAAATTTTGAGACATTATTCTCTGACTTTTAACAGTAACATATTCTTTTTGTGTGTCATTATATACTAGTGTTCTATTTTTGTCAATTTGTGTGCCATTCAAGGATAGCACTTGTGCTATATAAAAATAGTAATAGACACAATGAAGGACTTAGCTTTAGGGGCAAAAAGTGTACACTTTTAAGGTACTGATTGTTTATTTTAGTTCATTTTTGTAAATATTACATGAGAAACTTATTTTGTCTTCATAAACTCTACTTTTAAAAAAGCAGAATGCTTATGGGGAAATTTGAATCTTCAAAATAGAAAAGCAGTATAAAGTGGCTTAAGAGTCTTGGCATTCATTGATGTCGGGCAGACAAGGGAAAAAATCTCAGCCCTCCCTCAGTGTTTGACGACTTCAGGCAAGTTACTGAATCCCTCTGAGACTAAGTTTTTTCCCTGATGAATCTGGATAATATATTGTATCCATTTTATAGGGTGAAATGTAAAGGAATCATGCATGGTACAAAGTAGCTGCTATAATTATTGTTGTTATTATTTCATATGATGGCTTTTATTTATTGAAGCCTCAGGTTTTTTTTTTTTCCTTCAAGGTAAGGGGACATTTCTACAATTATGAGACATTTGATGTGCATATTTGTTAGTGTGAATACACAGTCATAGAGTGAATGCCAGCTCTACTAGAATATCTTCTGCTTATATTGTTTCCCACTAATTTATTGGCAGATATTCCTTCTTTCTATTTCTAAAACAATAGAACATAATTCAGGCCTGGACACGACACATGATTTAGCCAGGTTTTTTTGTTGTTTTTTTGTTGTGTTTATTGCTTTTGGGTATGAGAGGTAGTAGTCTGGGAGATAGAACTTGGGTATTGAGATGTTTAGATTTCTAGAATACTTCAATATTTACTATATACAGAGATATAAAATATGTAGAATTAATGTTATTCTGTACACTTGTGATGAACAATTGCCACACATCACTTTCTGACTTGGTTTCCCTATCTTTGCACTTCAAAAAACTAGAGCTATTAAGCTCCTTTCGATCCAGGGTCTTTTAGTGAGCATCTGATAGAGCCCACTTCTCAAAATTTTGGGATATTTTTCTCTGACTTTTAACAGTAATATATTCCTTTTATGTGTCATTATATTTTAGTGTTTTACGTTTTGTCAATTTGTGTGCCATTCAAGGATAGTACTTGTGTTGTATAAAATAGTAATAGACAATGGACTTAGCTCTGGGGGCAATAATCATCTTCATCTTTTCCTACAAATACCTGTTAGTCTAAGTTTTTGTTGTATATTTTTTATTGTTCTCCTCCTTAATCTTAGCCTGTATCTATTAAATCCTAACTCAGGAATGACTGGGCAGCATGGGAAGACTTCAGGGATTTGGAGCCAGGTAGAATGAGGCACATGTCTTGGCTCTGTTGTGTGCTGTGTGTTCTTGGGCACATTGACTTATGTTGTTACAAAACGGAGATCAGAGGTGAAGTAGCATCTTAAGTAGGGGTTAGTGATAAAGTAACTATAAAAGATGATGGAACTTGCATCTTATCCAAATTTTAGTCACTTGAGTACCAGATTAATTGGTACATTTGCGTTTAGGGAATGCATATGAAAAACACCTATCTTTGATTACTGACCTCACACTCAGTGAGGTGTTCACACTTCACATGTGGGATCTAAGACTGCCTGTGGGACTGCAGATATTTTTCCCTATAAGTCTCTTTTTTTGAGTTGGAGTCTCACTCTGTCACCCAGACTGGAGTGCAGTGGCCACTCCCGGCCACCGCAGCCTCGACCTGCTGGGCTCCGGCGATCCTTCCGCCTCAGCCTTCCACGTAGCTGGAACTACAGGCGCGTGCTACCACGCCTGGCTAATTTTTTGATTTATTGTAGAGATGAGGTCTTGCCTGCCCAGGCAGGTCTCGAACCCGCGGGCTCAGGCAATCCACTCACCTCAGCCTCCCAAAGGCACGGGATTACAGGCTGAGCCACTGCGCCTGTCTTCCCTATAAGTCTTACTAACACTCTGGAGTACTCAATTATTGAGTGAAATGGTGGCAGATCCTTCTTGTAGTACTTAAATTATTATCGCCTCTCTTTCTGCCAATCGTGTATAGTTTAGTTATTCTTACTTAATTGGGTGTGTGATATGATTCCATTGTAAAATCTTCCTTGTAGTTTTATAAACTATGTTTCGAAGTGTGTCTTGCAAGTCTTCCTCATATGAATCCCACTTCTCTCTTCTTGGTTTTAAGGGTTTTTATTGTCCTATCCCCTTTTTAAAATTGCTCCCAATCTAATTTCTTGTTATTTTGTAATATGGGCACTTAATTGTAATAAATCTATGGTTTACCAGGCAGGACGCTAACTGTTTTATAAGCATTTAATGCTTATAGTAACCCTTGAAGGTTAATGCCACTCTTTATGATGAAGGTGTTACCAAGGTTACACATTAGTAGCGAGGGGCATCAGAATACTTTCCCAGTAGTTATCTGACTCTCCCACTAGAGTAAATTCGAGTTGACTGAGAACATTGACTGAGAACTTGATGTATAGTAATTACTAAATATGTAAGACCTTCTCTGACCCGTCTCCAAACCCCTCCACAACATGCTCACACGGTACTCACTCCCAACGCTTTCACGTGTGCACAGATGGAAGTATTCACTGTACTTTTACCTGATTTTCTCACTAGAATGTCAACTTGGGGCTAGAACTATTTTATTAAGTGTCATGTTGGGAATGCCTACAACTGCAACTGGCACATAGTACTCAGTCATTACAGTTCATTTAAATAAGTTAATGAACTAATGAATCTGACATTTGATGTATACACTGGCCTATGCTTTTCTTTAACATTCCTCCTTCCTGGTGGAGGCTTATTTCTATTCCTTAACAAAAAAACCAAAGAACCTTATTTAAAATACACTTTGTCATTTTATATATTAATAACAGACAATAATAAGCTCTTTGAGGACAGGGATTGCCCCTGCTTTCTAGATTTTTTTTTTTTACTTTGCATTAAGGTTGTTGTTGTAGTTAGTATATTGTTCTGTGAGTAGACACTCCCTAATAACTGTGCCTGACTGCAATCAATGAACTGGTCTGCGGGTATCCTAGCAACCATAGTAGAATCTTTTTGTCTTTGTAAAAGATGTTAATGACCCTCATCTTCAAGCTCTTCTTTACTTGAGGAAAAAATAATGGCCAGAAACAGACCTTTGAAAACGAAAGCAATTTTTGCTATCAAGCAAAATGCTAAAGAGAAGAATCTGCTGAATTTTCTTAGTGCTTTTCACTGTTTCTTTTTTTGTTATTGTTTAAAGTTTTAAAACAGAGTTTATTAGCGAGAGGAAGAGAAGGAAAAAACAAGATTCATGGCAGAAAGATCTGCCATGGACAAGTTTCTCAAAAAGAAAAACTGCCTTTTCACTATTTCTTAACAAAAATAGAATATTGATAAACTAAATTTTTCTTTGAAAAAACGAATCATTCAGATCATGAAAAACTACTCTTTCAACAGAGGAAAAGACAAAAATGTATGCTCATACCTTCCAAGTCAAAATGTGACTTTGTAATGGGAAATCTTTGTATAATACTTCTAAATGAATGTGCAATTAGGCAATTTACTTTCTAAATGAAATTTATAGAGATTTGTTTGCATTTTCTCCAGCAGCAATTTAAAACAATCTTTAGCTCAGTAGTTTCCTCATCAGATTTTTGTCTATTGGGGAATTAAATATTTAAAAAATATTTTAAAAAGATTTATGTATTTAGTCCCATAACTTCAAGAATTTATGTTGCTGTGTTTTTCTATATACAGATATTTTTCATTTTCGATTGAGTTGTTAATATTCCTTAAGAAAAGGTAAATTTCAAAATGTTCATGTCTTAATAAAATTTCTAATTATGTCTTCTTTCATTCTATAAGGACATGTAACAATTGTCATAAAATATTTAAATGGTTTACATGGTTTAAACAGAATTGGAAAGGAATTGTCAAGTAAATGCTGATAACTTTGTACTGTTATGCTTTTGAAAAGTTTTGAATCATAGACCATGAAATTAAATGTTAGTTGATTGATATATGTTCATGTTGTATTTAATAAGCTGATTAAAACATAATTACAGCACCTTTGTATCTACAATCTTAATTCTTCGCTTCCCACTAGTTAAACTGCTTAAATATTTAGTTAAATTTCCTTCAAAGAAATCACAGTGTGTAGAGAGAAGATAAGGTATACTAAATGGAAGGTTGGACAGCATATTGTTAGTTAAGCAATTTGTGAAATGAACATTAGAAAATAATCCCCCATGTGGTTTGACTCTAAAATAGTAAGAAGACCTAGGCCCAAGAGTTATACCAGGAAATAATTTTCTTTTGTGCATTTTCAGTTATTTTGCAGAATTTTTTTAATTGACTCAGTGAGTGACTAGGATTTTTTAGCTTTTCTTTTTTTCTAAAACTAAGAAAATAGATCTCTGCATTTAGTATTGTGTAATAGTTATATATTCTTACTCCAAAAAAGTTTATAAAAAAGAATAAAAACGTGAGGAAATCACGTGTAATGTTATTTTCAAACATTTTTGTACAAATATTGTCACGTACTGTCAGAATTGAAAACAGTTCTGGTCAGCTCTAGTTTTTAGCTAATGTCTATGTAGATAAAAGGCAGCTGAAATTTAGAAGTCTGATTACTAAAGGAACCTACTGGTTAAAATGAGATGGTCAGCAGGGGGAAAGTAGACAAAGTTTGGGCAGTACTTTATTTTAGCGACTGCAGGATAAAGTGGATTATTTGATTTTGACTACCATGATGGGAATTTTTAGTTTCTGGAGCTAAAAGAGCAAGAGAAAGAACTGAGAGGTGGCATTCATCGCCTGTCCTGTACCAGGC